ATTTTAATGAATGGATTGGAAAATATTGATTTTAGTTAGTTCATAAAAAAATTAGGAATTTTATCTTTTAGATTCATTACATATTTTCTAGTTCTAAAAAATTTTTTCTTGATAGTTATCAAAGTAATGTCGTGTTTTTTATAGGAAAGTTTATAATTTTCAAAAATTAATTTAAAATGATAGAAACATTTAAAAAGTAGCTTAAATGATATAAAATTATTCACTTATATGTTAACTGCAGTTTTAAGAAAAGGTGAAATTGGCAAATGAAATGCTGCTCTATGGCAGTTTTCTACAAAAACTATATTTGGAACAGATACTTTATTTTCATGGATAGTCTGGCATATTGGTCTATTTGGAGGAGACCATGAAATCAGATATTTCCATATGGTAAAAACTCCCATGCTGGTTTATCCAAGGAAATGCCAGTTTAAATGAAGTTACACATCCCTCTTTAGAGGACACATTAAAAAAACAAGAGTTTTTATTCAAAACTGTGAAACTGTCAGCATTATATCAAAAACTATGATTATATGTTTAATTTCTTTATCTTACCTTATTTCTAAAGATATAAAATATTTGTGAAATTATGAAAGTGCTTTTCTTATGTTTATTTTATTGTAATTTGATTCAAAAATGCAAACAAAATAAAACACATTAAATTTTAAAAAGTCACTGCAAATTATCTCAACTTACACCCATTAACATCTACTTTGTGTGTAATTTGAGAGGAAGTTGTTATTTTTAAGGTCTGGGTAGATGGTCAGTGTATCCATACATGCTACTGCTTGCTGCTGCTGATGTTGCTAATGTCAATAAGTCATTAATCGTTTTATTGTCTTGTAAACAAAAACTCTCTTCCTGATTTTAAGTCAGTCAAATTACAATGTTATTATTTTATTGTACTTGAAAAAATGTTTACTTTTAACATTTAACAACCAGTTTTGTTAAATAGGATTAATTTTATATTTTAGTTGCAGTTTAACTGGCATGCCGATAACCCCTGCATTTCCGGCATACTGTCTCTCCCATTTGTATATGCAGCATGCCAGTCATTTCATGAAAATATGGTATATAACCTATTCTGAGGATCACAAAGAAAACAATGGCTTAATAACTGAACCACATTCAAAAGCATAAAATAAAATTATTTTTATTCAGACATTTTCATTATTATAGCTAAGACTTATTATGTTATTTATTTATATAAAGCACTACATTAAGCTCATTCATTCATTGATATGAATGGTTCTTTTATAAGTAGTTCACTTTTACACAAATGAAATGGTTCTCTGGTGACATATTTAATGATCCCAAAATGAGGGATATCAAACACATTATTGGAAGAATCTGAAATCTTAAAGTGGTAAATTATTTTGAGTCCAAAAAGGATTCAAAAACTCCCCATTTAACTCTTAATGCATCATAGACTTATGACTAAATGCTTGACTTTAAGTACCATCTACCTACTTTTGAAATGTTCATTGTTAAAAATTTTCTCTGCGTTATTTTTAATGCAATGCTTTCTTTTGTCTTAACAGTATTTACATTTTATTAAATTTTTTTTATACAGAATGTTTCAAAACTATATGTCAGAAATGTAAAGGCAGGTAGAGGGGACCTAAATAAGCAGATTTCGTATAGGAATGTGGGTGTGGAAATGCAGCAAGAGGACATGGTTGAGTTCAGTAGGTGAAAGCACTTTGCTGGCTTGAATCATCATTCCCAACAAGTAGTGTTACCACCCATCCAGTTTTCACCCAGACAGTCTGGGAATTGACTCACTGTCCAGGTGAACTATTAATTTTGCCCAGGAATTTCGTAGAATTGTGAAATTATGATGAAACAAGGTTCTTGCAAATATTTTTACAAATTTACACTATTTTAACAGTAAAAGAACTGCAAGTCTGCCATGTTAGTCTGTTTACGTCAACGTGTAGAGCATAACCTGTCAACCTTTTTTTTTTTTCTTTTTTTTGTATGTACGATCGTACACTTCTCCAATATCCAATAGAGCTAAGTCTATGTCATTTGTACCTGTTGTTTCTTAATTTAGGTTACTTATGTTACTCCTATGCAAGTCCCTAGTCCCTAACTGTAACTGATTTAGAACTGCCATGCACGCTATTCTTTGCATTGTAAAATGACATTGCGCATGCATCAGGAATTTCTGTTCGAACAAACCTGACCTGCCATCCAGGTAAGTGATTTTGAAAAGGTGACAATACTACCCACAAGGATTTTGAGCAACATGCATCGTTACACCAATGCAGAGATTGCCGACATGCATTTCATGTATGGGGCTGTGCAAGAAAATGCAGCTGCTGCTCAAAAGATATACATGAAATGCATGTCAGCAAGCTCTGCATTGGTGTAACAATGATGTTGCTCAAAATCCATGTGGGGGAATGATGATTCAAGCCAGTTTCATCTGCCGAACTCAACAGTGCCCTCTCGCTGCATTTCTGCACCCACATTCCTATACAAAATCTGCTTACTTATTTCCCATCTACCTTCCTTTACATTTCTGACATATAGTTTTGAAATACCCTATATAGATTATACAAATGTACTGTACTGTACATAACATTAAAATCATAACACACCACACCAGGAAATACATAATAACAAACACAGAACCAATTACTGGTATATTCTATATAACAAAACATTCTCTGCACAAACATTTTCTAACTCCTTCTTCAAGTGTGATAATGGTTACCTGATGGAACATCCTTCAGTACAAACTTGAGTTTATAAAAGATTTTAAAAAAAACATAATTCAAACTTATGAACTATGTTCAAATTACGTTTCTTTTAAAATTACATTATTGCACCTGAAGAACTCAGGAGGAGTTAGAAAATGTTTGTGCAGAGATTGTTTTTTGTTTATACACCCCAGTAATTGGTTCTGTATTCATTATTACATAAATAACAATGTTTCATAGAATTGCTTTAAGTTACAAAAAGTACCAGGAATAGACTGCCAAAAATGATTAAAGTCCCTAATAAATATAAACATTTTACATATGTATGTAATCATGAAATCATAATTATTGTAGATTTTCTATTAATGATATATTTCTTACTAATGTCAAATTAAAACTAAACACCAATGTAAATGAAAATAACTTAATACTGTACAGTTTAATCAAAGGTTTTCCATATATAAACCAAAGTTGAATCTTTATAACCAATATCTAAAAGGCTATAACAAATACCTGTAATATAAACTAGTGAGCACTATCTTGGCCTTTCTTTATTGCTAGACTTATTACACTGTCACTGGACACAAGATCAGCCTTAGAAAATCACTTAGAAATGCACTGTCCTTGAAAAATAAAGTGATTTTCTAAGGTTAATCTTGTGTCCAGTGATGGTATAATAAGTCTAGCAATAAAGAAAGGGAAACATAGTGTTCACAAATTTATACCATGATTAGACAAGAAGTGTATCATAGTAAATACCTGTAGCTTGAAAGATATCTAGTTTTTAGACAAAGATTTTATAGATCATTATTCTCAATAATTCTGTATTTCTGAATCATTAAGAGAAAAGAAAATATTAATATAACTTGCAACTGACTATTGTTTGTATCTAATAAACAACCAATTGCTTAATCATACATCAGAAATTTAAAATTAATTTTATTGATATATTAGTAGAAAAACATGAATTTAATACTGTACTTCTTTCTAAAATTCTGTTGGCTCTTTAATTAAATATACATAAAAAATTGCATATTTAATAAGCAATAAATTATCCACCGATATCAAACTTTAGAGCAAGCTAAAGTCTGATATAAATGTTCTTTGCAGATGTACTGTACAGTACTGTACAATGAGTAGTCTTTCTCATACATTTCTGTTAGAAGTTAGAGGAGGAAAATTGTAAGAATTAATATTTATATGAATAAAAACAGCATTCATTACTATAATAAAAATTTATAAAGTATACAATATTCTATCTATTAACATCTAAGTAGCATAAACATCTGAAACAGTTTTTCATAATTTTGCCTTTGATTATCACATGGACTGGATAAAATTATGAAGGCTAAGGCTAGCTAAATATACAGAACAATTGTATATTATCTATGTTGCAACAAAACTTTAACGATATAAGTTGAATAGAGATTCTCAATGTTAAGAAGAACTGATTAAAAGACAGATGATAAAGGTGTCTTACAGATGAACTTTAATTCATTTTTAAGAAGCTTAATCCCATCAGAAAATATTAAGATGCTAAGACAATAAAAAACTAGAAGAGACCATCAAAAAGACAAAACTGAATCATTGTTTTGATGGAAAACAGAAAAAATTTCCCTGAAAATAAAGAAAAAAAAATCAATGATAAATATTTTGTAGAAATTAATGTTTTAACAGAAATTAGAAGTTTTAGCATTCATTCCTATTTTCCAGTTAATAATGATTGACTATAGATCAGCAATAGCTGACAGCAATACGAGATGATATGACACTCTCTCCAATAATTTTAACTATTCAGATTAAACACAAATATAATAATAAAATTTACAAAGTTAACATGTAATTTAATATCAGTCTGACAATTACTAATAAAAAGAAGCTTCTAAAAACAGAGAAAAAATGATGAATCTAAAAATATAGATATTCCAAATTTTTATGAAGTTAGTTTTAATTAACCAATTATGTTATTTGTACTGTATTTACAAAATTAACAATAAGATATGAAAAGTATGGGATGTCACAACTGAAAATAATTTAAAGATGATACTGAAAGAAGAGTTATTTTGTTTCTCTCTTTTTTAATACTTTTATTAAAGATTAAAGTATTTAGAATTTGTTCAAACAGATATATTTTACTGCTACTTTAATTTTCCAAAAAAATGTAAATTTTTATTTTTGTGTAATTCTTTGGTTTAATTAAATTATTTTATGATTATGATTGTATGAGTTGCTATATATTTTATTAAAGTTTATTCATTTTCTCCCTTAAAATTATGAAATAAAATTACTAACAGTGACGATTTGTACGGAGATCACGGCGAGGACGTGAATGTTGATCTAATGATTGATGACTTTCAGGTACTAAGCTTGATAATGCATTTAATCCAGCAGTTATAGGAGAATGAACAGATAACTCTAAGGAATTTCGAGTTGAATCTGGATGAGTAGCGCTGCTGACAGCAGAACAAGTATTTACATCATCAACATCATCTGTTGAAGCACCATTTCTAGCTGCTAGAACTAAATATTTCTTCAATTAGCTAATTGTTAGAAGAGACATTCTGAAAAATAAAAATGTTTATCAAAAAAAGATGCTTACATGCACCATTAGCTGCTAACAAGTGATTTGTTGCATTATTTAAAACAGTTCTGCCATCCAAAGCATCAGCACCATTTAAAACAGATGACACAGTACTACTAGCAGCAGCTTCGTTACAAGAACTTAGATCATTTATATGCTGGCTATACCCTAAAAAAAAAAGTTATCTTTTCTATTATTTGAGTTTAAATAATTAAAAGAAAATAAATAAGCTATATGAAGTATAAATTAATTAATTTGAAATAGTCAAAGTTATTATTCTATTATTATTATAATAAATGTATAAAAATAACTTTCAAATTAGACTTTTGTGATAAAGTTAAATAAATATAATCTTAAATAGTAGTAGCAGAAGCAGAACCTTAATTATATGACAAACTTTCTGAAATATTAATTTTCATATAATTTTTTTACAATTTCAAAATTTTAACAAAACTCATTAATTTATACAAATAATAATTTATAGTGAAGTAATATATTGATTTATTTTGACTCTAAGCAATTTACACAAAATAATAAGTTCTATCTTTTGATATTAATATTTATTTTCAAAGTATACACAGTAGAACCTCGATTATCCCGACTAATTGGGAATGAAGGTAGTCCAGATAAGGAAAAATCCGGATAATTGAAACAAATACTTTAATTTGTCTTTTAATGATAATACAGCACGTTTTCTTTTCGATGACATATCAGTAATATTAAAAATAAATACTGTATTTAAATCATGATCAAATTTTCAAGAAACAAACGTTCATATTGAATTTGATCTACTACTGACCAGCGCTAACAGACTAGCTTTTGTTTAAAAGGTCCTCTGGTGGCTCAAGAAGACGGATTTTATAAAATAAAAAGCAGTTGAAACTGCTTTTTATGAATAAAAATTTGACAAACTAGTTATCATTTTATGACGAGAAAAATTTTTTCGTCGCGTTCTCGGCTTTTAAGTAATGCATAAACCTTCAAGGCGCGAAGCCCTTCGGACCGCGAGGCATAGGCGGTGGCCCACGTTGCCCATGCCTTACGCCACCCTTGGTCATAGAAATGATGTAATTTGAATATAAATTATTTATAAATACGTATGTCAAGTTATATTTTTATTACGACGCAAAATATATTTAAGAGTTTACGACCACTGTGCCGGGTGAGACGTTGTTGAAACAAAAAAAGTTATGCATTCCATCACGTACATAAGCAGTGTCGTAATTCGCCAAGTGCAAATCAACAAATTCGTAAAATTTTTGTTTATTTTGAACAATCCGGATAATCGAAAATCCGGATAATGGAGGTCC